CTGGTTGCACATACGTTCTAATGTTAAGGCTAGGAGAAGACTCTCTCACTAGACTCACCCCTATTTTTCTTGTATTGGGAACCACTGCTACAAAATAACCACTCTATCTTTCTTTTTCGTTTTGGGTAGAGGAGGGAGGATGAAGGGAGCTTGGTGCTATACGTAGGCAGTTCATATTCTGAAGAGGTTATTTTTTTCCTTAATGCATGAATTTATGCACCAATTACCTTGTCTCTTTCTTCCGCTGTGTAAACTTTATATTCTTTAACAATTCCAAGAAATGCATTGCGCAGATTTGATATTACTTCATCCTGCACGGGACCCTACAAGTTCAAGTGTTCCAATTATCAGTAGTAAAGTCAGCTTTCATATATCAGTAGCTTTGAGGTTATATGTGCAAACACATGTCTAGCCAAATCTCTCCAACTAGTCAGACACTCGTAAGAAACCATTTTTTTCGAAAAAAATCACCTTTTCACAAGAATATGACAGCCGCTCTTCAGCTTCAAGTTCAGTTAGTGACCTTTGGCCCCATGTTTTCGCAGCCAACTCCACAGCTTCCTCAGCCAATTTCAACTTCTCCTTTGATAGTGTGCAAGGGAATAGGCTCTCATTTACCTGAAGTGTGATTCAATGACATCAAGGTCACCGCGCATATGGAAAGAGGCTAGGCGTAAATAGGTTCAGATCAATTGAATAATTCCAACCTTCCATGTTTTTTTGGGAGGAGGTTTCTTTACAGAAACAAAAACTCCTTCAATTGGCCTTACAACTCTGCATCAGCAATAGTGTAAGGATAAATTGGCATTCAATACCTTGTGCTGTGGAAATTGCTTCTAAATAGAGTATAGTGATTGCAATAATACATTTGGGTGTGATGGGTCATTTCTCACAAATTTGTGGAACAGTTATTCCAATCTCATCTAACTGGACGAATGCTTTAAACAGTAAAACTTCATACAAAAAGTTTATAATTATGAAAAAAACAAAATTTGATATGTGCACATACAAACTAATACAAATATATCACATATATTTGGGTATTGCATAAGGTTGAGAGTTAGAACATACCTTGGCATCAACATCTCACGTAACTTCAACCTTGCCATAAATTCTGCATTACCACCAAGGATAATATCAGTCCCACGACCAGCCATATTCGTTGCAATAGTAACTGCCCCAAGACGACCACTTTGAGCTACAATTTCAGCTTCTCTTTCCACATTTTCAGGTTTGGCATTCAGAACCTAGTAATATTACATGAAATGAGTCCCCCAAAAGAGTAGAAAATATGATAGTTGTGATTATCCACCTCTCACAGTACAAGAATGAAATGCAATTATTTTGCACCAACCTCATGTGGAACTCCAGCTTTACGGAGCTGTTCGGACAGTGCATCACTCTGCTCAACACTAGTTGTTCCAACAAGAACCGGCCGACCTGTTTTATTCATCCGAGATATCTCTACTACAACAGCCCGCCATTTCCCTGTAGTTGCCCTGAACACTACATCTGATTCATCCTTTGGAGCGTGGTTAAGAATAGAAGTTAATAGAATTTCTTAACTTATAACTCAAGTTGTACTGGAAAAAGAGTGTTAACAGGAATTAAGTAACACATGATGCATTGGAAATATCAAACTATCATGCAATTCATTTGTTCTTCAAAAGGGTTCAAATGTTTTCCTTTTATAGCTTTTTCAGTCTATATCCAAATTACACAAAAGCAAACACAGTAGTAAAACCCATAAATAAACCGATAGAAGGCATGCACACAGACACAAACCGAAAGACGGGGGAGGAAAAGAAAGGGAAGAATTGAATAGAAAAACCTTTCTTATCATGGGCTTGTTTGTAGGAACAATTGTAACTTTGAGCTTGTATATGCTCTCAAATTCTGCCGTCTCAGTAGCAGCAGTGCCAGTCATGCCACAAAGTTTCGGGAACTACATAAAGCATCGTAACTGAATATCAGAATTTAACGTAGGGAAAAAAACATGATAAGACATAAATCACAAAGTGAGACTGGAAAACATCACTCGAGAGGTAACAGAAAACCTGGAGAAAGAAATTTTGGTAACTAATTGAAGCCAGGGTCACTGTTTCATTTTGTATGGGCAGTCCCTCTTTTGCTTCAACCGCCTGGTGAAGTCCATCACTCCAGCGTCTTCCCTATGAGATAATGAACCAACTATACTTTTATTTCCAGATCTAGGTAAGAAAAGGTTACATCAAATAAACGACTAAAGAAATCTATTCAGACAGTGACTCATTTGTAATTGGACTTTGTAAAAATATGAAGAATATACACTCAAATGTTGGGTCAGTGTTTTGAAACAAACAGCCACTAGCAATATGATGCAGCAGCAAACGAAAGCAATAATAATTCTCATAGAATTAACTGACAAGCACATATTGAACTACGAAAGGAGCAAGAGATAAAGGCATAAACAAAATCAAGGGAGATCAAAAAGTGATAAATGGGCCTGGGTAGAACTCATCCCCAAAAGCTACCTCAAAGGGAGAGGGTGCACAACCCACATTTATATAACAACAGCCCAGTACCTAATCGATGTGCGATAACCAATTTTTCTAACAAAAAGGAAATACACTAAGGCTTGACAGATGGGTGGAGACTATATGGGTATTGGTGGACAGATAGAGATGGATACAAACGCAGTTCCCATCAGAGTACAACATAGGACATGCTCACAGGACTGTTGGATAAAGTCATATGTCGAAGAATGAAATAGACTTGTTCATTTTATTTCTTATTCTATGAGCGCTAGTAAGTTAGTAAGATATTCACCTGCATTACCCGGCCAGTAAATTCATCTACTATAAGAACCTCCTTGCCTCTGATTATATAATTTACATCTTTAACAAAAAGTTCCTTAGCTTTTATAGCATTTAATATGTATGATGCCCACTGCTCCCTTGGATCATACAAATCTTTTACATCTAGAATTTCCTCAGCATCTGCATATCCCTGTTCTGTAAGTAAAACTGTTTTTTGTTTCTCGTCAACCTGCATATATATGTCACAATTTCAGGTAGTACTTCTGTAGTTGTAACATCTTAATCTTGCTAAATACAAATACAGTAATACCAGTGGTATATGCTCAAATTTAAGTCAAAAAACTATATTGTAAGGGAAACTATAAATAGATCTTGACCTTTTACGTATATAGTTTTGCAATCAATTTGAGGATTTAATTTTATATATGTAGCAGCATTCACAACTCAAACTAGAAATTCTAGAATAGCTTGTTTCCTCATATTTAGCGTGACATCAAAGTTCTTACTAATAGAAAAAAGTGGTTCTATTTCAAATGCATAGCATAAAAAACAATAGTCCCAGTTAGTTTAATTTCTCACTGTATAATGTATCTCTCTCTCAAAAGCTGTGGCCATTTTAGCAGCTTTATAGTAACGATCACTTGGTTTCTCCGCAGGTCCTGATATGATTAGAGGAGTCCTTGCTTCATCAATCAGAATTGAATCAACCTCATCAATTACACAGTAATTGAAACCCCTCAAGACAAGTTCATCAACACTCTGTAAGGCCAAAATAACCATTTCAGCCGGACATGGTTATGAAACGATTTCAGAATAGCATACAAAGAGATCAAAAAATGGATTCACAAAGCAAAAGATTACTTTCCGTGGCAAGATTATCCCTTAAGTAATCAAAGCCCAGCTCACTATTTGTAACATATGTGATGTCACACTGGTAGTTTTCTTTCCTCTGGTCACTTGTCATATTCTCTGCCAAGAACAACTGAATGTCAGGAGGGCAAATCATTTTTGACTCACGAAGTTAAACTTCTGGATCTTCTCTTTCAAAAAATCTAAGCACGCTTATCAAGGTACTGCATCCTCATGTAGGATAATTTGGAATGGCATTAAACACAAGGAGAGAAAGGTGAAGTACAGTTATTAATGATTCCACGGGATGAAGTGTGCTGGACTAGGTAAAATCATAAAACATTGCAACAAGGGTAACATCAAGCTGGTCATCATGAGGGCACATACAATCGCACACAAGCCACGAGTATCATACATCAAAACAGCAACCAATTTCATTGTTGAGATTCAGCAAATGCAAATAAAGTGCTCAAAAAAAAAAAATGTTTGACGTATGGTCTGCTCCATAGATTAAGAAACACCATTAGTATGTTATAGCAAGAATCTAATAAACACTGCCCGAGTTTAGTGCGGCAGAGAGTTTCCTATAAAATTGTCACTCGGGCTAGCTCTTTAGCAAAGGTTTTCTCAATATCCTAATGGCTATTTTTCAAGATCCAGAAATCGGAAAAATAATATTGAAGCAGGAACGGTCTAAGAATAAAAAAGGGAACAAGGTCACAAAGCAAGCAAGAAGAATCAGTTATTGAAGCGGAAAGCTTGCTGACAGAAACAACATTAACGCCAAAATTCTGATGTAAATGGAAAAACTATAGCCCGTATTTGGTAGCATTAATAGAAAAAAGAATGTAATTGTGAAAGACGTACGCTGAATTAATCCAACCTTCAGTCCAAGAAAACGTGGAACTTGACCAACCCATTCGCAATCTCGTCGAGCCAAATAGTCATTAACAGTAACAACATGAACTCCTTTCCCCGACAATGCATTCAGAAAAGCAGGCAATATGGCCACAAGTGTCTTTCCTTCTCCTGTTTTCATTTCAGCTATTTCTCCTTTGTGAAGAACCATGCCACCTTCTCACCATGAAAATTAAAGGAATAAATGGATGGACAACCATTAGTACCACCAGAAACAGTCAATTCTCTCCAGCTCAGGTTATAGGAACAACTTTGGGCTCACAGTAATCAACTAGCCAGACAGTTAGAGGAGTAAATTTTTTAAAGCAGATAACCAACCTATTAATTGTACATCAAAGGGGCGAAGACCGAGTACCCTTTTAGAAGCCTCCCGAACTACTGAAAATGCTTCCTGGATAAAAGAAAGTCAAATAGAATATAGGAAACCACATACAGCAGGGTCTATTCCTCACTTCAAACATCACAAAAACAACTACAAAACAGAAAGTGTACACCAAATGAGTTCAATCTAATTATGTTTAAGGGAAAGAAAACGAGCTAGTAAGGTTGAAAAGAAGGACATACAGGCAAAAGGGTGTCTAAGGAATCACCGCGGCTAGCACGCTCTTGCAAGGCCGACGCCCTTTCTCTCAGCTGGGAATCTGAAAGAGACGAAATCTCGGGCTCCATCCGATTGATGAGTGCGACGGTGTTTGCATAGAGCTGCCTGGTAGACTCGCCGGTGTCTGTGCCCGTCCCAAAGATACCGCCAAGTAATCCGCCTAACGTCGCCAACGGCATCGCCCGCCTACGAGCTCTGAGTCTCACTCTTCGTCCAACTCCGCCTCTGGGAGGCTTCAGCTGAAGATCATTCCCAATCCCATTTACAATGAAGTTGGGAGAAAGAGCTGTGGGGCCGACAGAAGGAAACCGAATGGCAGCTTGAGATGCAACTGCCATCTCAGTAGCAGACAGTTGCAGGTATACCGAAATTTGTCAAACAATGCGCAGTAGAGTTGGAGAGGATTGGCTAGAGCCGAGAGCGAGAGAGATGTGGTCTGCAATTCACGAAAAATATGGGAGCCAATTTGAAAGATAAGATTAAAGGAGTAATATTAAATATATATTTATAGATAAATGATACATTATCAACCTAGTAACTAAGTTGACAATATAAANACCTTAAAAAAAAAAAATAGAAAAAAAAAGAGAAAAAAAAAAGAGAAAAATGCTACATTGTCAACTTAGTCGTACAATTACGTTGATAACACAAGAATTTTTGTGGATGTTTTTTACTTGTGTTGTCAACCTAGTTGTACACTAGGTTGACTATGTATCATTTTTCTAAAAATAATTAGTTGTACACTAGGTTATCTACCTACTACATTGTCAACTTATTTGTATACTAGGTTGGTTATATATTATTTTTCATATTTATATATGAATATAACTGAATAACGGATTTATTCCATAATATATTATTCTAAATTAATTAGTAAATCTATTCTAAATAATAATATTTTTTTATTGACATAAATCTATGAATGGAATATTATTCTAAATTAATTAGTAAAACTATTCTAAATAATAATAATTTTTATTGAAATAAATCTAAACATTCATACACCTCTATCTAGTAAAAAAAATGATAATAAATAACATGTAAAAATTTTGGTGAAAGTTTTGTTATAGAATAGGAAATTTTATAACCATTACTTTTTAGTTTTCTAAATAGTTCTTAACTTTTAACTAGTTCGTATCCCGTCTGATTCGCGGGACAAAGATATTAAATATGTTATTTTTACAAGCTCGGTTCGTTAAGTATAAAAAGCGAGAGAGTTATCATCTATTTTCCACCTCTTTTAATCAGCGTTGAGTCTAAAAAAACAATAGAATTATAATCTATTTTTCACATATTTTAATCAGCATTGTTTTGTTAGCCAGAACATTAAATATGAGCATGTTAGGGCTAGTTTGTAAAATAATTACTATATTATCACACTAACACAATCATAAAATTTGATAATGGAAATAATCTAAGTATTAAATATAAATAAATGTGATTACCTTCCACCTAAGGGACAACCACGGACTCTCTGAAAGTTCGTATCCTTCATTTTTTGGCGAATATGAGGGATACGTCCATATGCCCAAACCTACACATATTGACATATGCATTTGTTATTAGATATTAGTCTAAATTAAAATAAAAAAATAAATTTTCAAATAACAAATAAATAAATGTACCTGAATCAATTGGACACAGTTCTTGATCCATTTTTTCCCGGCCTTGTAGCTCGTGCAGAGCGCTCTATACACTTCGGCCAGGAGTGCCGAACCCCAGCTGTACGTCTTGATCGCATCGATGTCGTGCAAATGCTGCAACTCCATTGGCCCTTTGGTCGGGGAAGAAGAAGGAACCGATGCACCAGAGTATAAGGGTCCTCGCCCTCTGTTCGTCGTCCAGGGTATGTTCTCCATCTGTTAGCTCTCTGGTGCACTCCTCTTCTAACCCCGAGGTCCTCAAAAACTGGCCTGTAATGGCCCAAGTCTTGGGGTCGCGCTCCGGGTCGTCGTCATTCTGAGAGTGGTTTATATATATTAAAAATTAATGAACGGAGTAAACATAAAAAAAAAAAAAAATTACCTGGACATAGGGCTCGAACCCTAGCAAATCCATACACATTTCTCGCCATTCTTTGGGTGTGCGATCTCGAGTCTCTCCCCAACAAGGCGTTCCATCGATCGAGAGACCAAATAGGACTTCTACGTCCTGCAGCGTGATCGTGGCCTCCCCGAAGTCAAAATGAAAGGTATGCGTCTTCGGTCGCCACCTTTCCACCAGATAGGTAATGAGGCTGTTGTCCGTTAGTACTCCGCCCATTCTAAACAGCGGCCCAACATCTGTCCTCTCGATCTCCTCTAAAACTCTGGATGATGTTTGTCCAATGCCTTCCAAACCTCAGTGTCGCAATGGCGGGTTTTAACAACGCCGTCACGACATCCCTCTAAATCTTCGAATAGCGTATTCGCCCGGTGGCGGTACTGAAGTTATAGAAGGGACGCATCCCTCGGACCGGGATGTACATTGTAGCGTTGCGGTTGTTAGGACGACGATAATTAATATATAAACTTATAATAAATTAAAATATTAAATTAAATTATTAAGATATAAACTTATAATAAATTAATGCCATTTTCTACAAAAGAAAATATATATAAAAAAAAACAATCATTTCATATACTACATACTACAAAAAAAAAATCATCAATTAAATGAAAATAATACAATCATATTTACAAAAAAAAAAACAAATTCACAAAAACACAAATACACAATAAATTCACAAATTCACAAATCATATACACAATAAATTGACAAGAATCCCTAATCGAACCCTAAGCCTACTCCAATTTCCAATTCCAATTCGACTACAACAATTCAACTTCCAACAAAATCCCACATTCAAATATATTAATAAATTCACAAATAAATTAACCTCATCACAAATTCACAAAATGTACAATAATATGTCAAGAATATATACAACAATCCCTTTGAGGCATTTTATCGAACACCTTCAAATCATATATTTCCAAACAAACTACAATACCCTAATCAATTTCCAAATAACTCATCAATTTATCAAATAAACATAATCAAACACTACATCAACATATCTCAATCCATAGGTCAATCCAATTCAAAACCCTAAGTTTAGCCCTAATTCAAAATTATTGAAACAATTAAAAAAAATTAAAGACTAAGAAGAAACGTAGACGGGAAGGAGGCGCGGTGGTAGTGCAGCGGCAAGCTGCGGGACGGTAAGGAGAAGAAGAAGATGAATTTTTTTTCTTTTATTATATTTATATGTAAAACGTATTGCCGGAATACGTTTTACATAATAAAAAATGGTTGAAGTTTGCGCTTGAGGGGAATCGAACCTGAGTGTGGGTGTTTCAAACCCTCAAGGTTGCCTTCAATACCATCCTGCCGCTAGGGGATCGCATTCATTTATTTACAAATTGTATACTTATCCTTGAATATCGAGGTTTATAAAAAATTTGACTTAGGATTTATATAGTATTTACATATACTATATGCTATAAGCTATAAACTATATACTATATGCTATAAGCTATAAATTATATACTATATGCTATAAACTATATACTATATACTATAAACTATATGTTTATATTGTATATAATATATAGTATATATAGTATATAGTATATCAACACATTATATATATGTTTATATAGTATATAATATATAGTATATATAGTATATAGTATATAGTCAACACATTATGATATATAGTATATAGTATATAGTGTATAATATATAGTATGTAGTTTTTAGTATATAGTATATAGTATATAGTTTATAATATATATTATATAGTAGGCAAGGGATCATATGAGAATGACTCTTAATGCGAGAAATGAGAATAAGTTTGGATCATGGGATCAAGCATATCAATGGTTATGACGAAGTTAAATTATGGTCAATCATTAATGGCAATATGGTAATTATTGACCATAGTGTGGTCAAATATGTGTATTTGACCAATAATTAAGGGTAAGGTGATAAATAAACATATAAAATGGGACCACTCATTAAATCAATTCAACACACTTTTCTCTCTCCTCAACCTCTTCTCTTTCTCATCTTCACGCACTGAACACACACTACACACACTGACACACATACAGATTTCCGGCAGGCCAACCACCACATCGCTGTCGCCTTCTGCTGACAGCCATCAGTTTAGAGCCCACCTTCTGGCCACCGGAGCACCGCCACGCAGTCACCTCCATCTGTTCCTGCACAACCGCCGCTGCCGCCTCTCACTCGTCGCCACCGGCTTTCTGACTGTCGTCGCTTTTCAGCCTACCGTCGTCCCCTTTCTCAGCTTGCCATCGCCATTTTCAGCGCGCCATCAGCATTCTGCCACCGCCCCCACCACCGTACAAAAACATGTCGAGCAACTCCGTCACCACCGACACCGGCAACCTCGCTGTAGTCATTTCCAGACCGACCCCCACTTCCAGTCCTTGCCGTCCGTTGGCCACTCATGCTGCCTCCGTCAATGGCCGCTTCAATGTCGTGAATCTTCCCGCCATCTTGGTTTCTCGCCGGAAAATCGTCGGTGAATGTCGGCGGTGACTAACAGGTCAACGTCGGCCGCCGACGACCTCTGTGATTGTGGCCGGATATGGCAGTTTGTTGTACCATGAGTGTTGTTTGAATTTTGGGGTTATTTGTGTGAGAATTTGATTTATTCTAGGGCCCTAATTGCAATTTTTGAAATTTTATTTTATTTCAATTGAGGACAATTGGAAAATTGGTAATATAGTAAAGGTTTAATACATACACGACTATACATAAAATAAACTACATTATTTTTTTTATACTTCAATAGAAAATCATAACTTAATATTTTTTATACAAAAATAAAAATAAAAATAATATTTTTAATATAATCTGACTTTTATTTTAGTCATTTAAATAAAAAATGTCATCGTATCGAATATACTCGTTATATAAAAAAAATCGAAACAAAATATAATATTTCACACCGAATTTATGTTCGTTGGATTTCGTTCAATTTTGTGCAATATGGTAGGCATTTATGTGCAATCAGTACAATCATTATGTGCATTTGCAATACATATAAAAATATATAAGAAATAGTATAATTTTTTATTAAAAAATATAAATAAAAAAAAAATTGGTAATATTTTTCATATAGTTCTTCATGTTCAGTTATTTTATTTATTTAAAAAGACTAAATTCGACAGTTAACCAAGTAATTTATTTGATCGATTAGCAGAATTACGGTTTTTTTACAGTGCAAGTATTGATATATAAAGTGCAATTATGTAGATCCATTTTTTATTTTTATGTGCGTAATATTTCTGGCGGAAGCTAGTGACAATAATTATGTTGATAAAGTGCAACGTGTCGTCTTATAAAGTGCAACCTGTTGTGTTATAAAGTGCAACATCACGCTATATAACATGCATTAATTTATAAATTAATATTTTTTGCGAGAGCTATTTATGTTAATTATGTTGATAAAGTGC